GATGGCAGCATAGCCCTTAGGGCTATCAGCTACTTCTCCCAGTTTGGTATCATCAGCAAACTTGCTGAGGGAGCACTCCAGCCCTTCATCCAGGTCGTTAATGAATAAGTTGAACAGGACCGGACCGAGGACTGACCTCTGGGGGACACTGCTAACTAAGGGCCTCCAACTGGACTCAGCGCCACAGTTTACCACCCTCTGAGCTCTGTCATCAAACCATTTCTCAGTCCACCTCCCCGTCCACTCATCTATCCCATACCTCTGGAGCTTGCCCAGGAGGATGCTGTGAGGGACGATGTGAAAAGCCTTACTAAAATCCAGATAGATGACATCTACTGCTCTCTCCTCATCTATCCAGCTAGTCATTCCATCATAGAAGGCTATCAGGTTAGTCAAGCATGATTTCCCCTTGGTGAATACATGCTGCCTATTCCTGGTCACCTTCTTGTCCTCCATGCACTTGGAGACAGCAGCCAGGATGAGCTGTTCCATCGCTTTTCCAGGGATGGAGGTGAGGCTCACCGACCTGTAGTTGCCCAGGTCCTCCTTCTTGCCCTTTTTGAAGACTGGAGTGAGGTTGGCTTTTTTCCAGTCCTCTGACACCTCTCCCATTCTCCAGGACCTTTCAAAGATGGTGGTGAGCGGCTGAGTTATGACATCTGCCAGCTCATGCAGCACTCTTGGCTACATCCCATCAGGGTCCATGGATTTGTGGGAATCAGGTTTCCCTAAGTGCTCTCTGACCTAATCTTCCTCTACTCAGGGCAAGTCTTCTTCTCTCCAGGCTTCTTCTCTTGTCCCTAGAATCTGGGATTCCAAAAGGCTACCCTTGGTAAACACTGAAGCAAAGAAGGCATTCAGTAACTCTGCTTTTCCTCTGTTTTTTCATAACCAGGGCAACCACCCCATTGAGAGCAGACCCACGTTTTCCCTGATCTTCCTTCAGCCACTGATATATTTGAAGAAGCTCTTTTTGTTATCTTTAACATCCCTTGCCAGATTTGGTTCCAAATGTGCCTTAGCTTTCCTTGTTGCATTCTTACATCCCTGCAAGGGGCCTGTTTTTCCACATTCTGTATACTGCCTTCTTCTGCTTGAATTTTGCCAAGAGTTTCCTCATCCCCGCCCTGCCTGACTTCTTACTCATAGGAATGCACCAATCCTCAGCATGGAGGAAGTGCTGCTTGAAAACTAACCTGCCCTCTTGACCCCCACTTCCTTCTAGAGCCCTAGACCATGGGATTCCAAGAAGATCTCTGAAGAGGCCAAAGCTGGGCTTCAGCCTCCTGAAGTCCATGGCTATAAGGGTGCTTACAGCCCTGCTACCTCCTCCCTGGATCMTGAACTCCACCAGCTCAATCACTGCAGCCAAAGCTACCCCTCACCTTCACATCTCCAACAGTGAGATTTGTTATTTGTTAGTACCAGGACCAGTAGCTAACCTCTCCCCTTGGCTCCTTCACAGTCAGTGTCAAGAAGTTATCATCAACATACTGCAGAAACCTCCAGGACTGTGTGTGCCTAGCTGGGTTGTCATTCCAGCTGATATCAGGGTGGTTGAAGTCCCTTGTGAGAACCATTCAAATCCTTGAAGTCCTGTTAGGATTAAGAAGAACCTGCCTATGTACCTGGGTGCTCTTCTTGCTTGGGCTTCCTGCACCATGTAGTTTCTTCTGCAGTACTAACCTGTTATCACAAGATGCCAAAGGGACAGGATGGATGATATGCAACTGCACTTATACAAACTTCAATTAAGTTAATAGGTCTGAAAAATAGGGCCACCATGTACCTGTTTGGAATAGATATACATTGTGGTGCAGAGGCTGTAAAGGCCGTGYCTTACCTTTCCCAAGCAATGCTTCTAGGAGAAGTGATGTGCATCATGCTACCAGAAGAAGGTTTATCTGTTTTGTCTCCATCAAGCCTTGCTGTTGGATGCAGAGGAGAAGCAGAAATGTTTTCCTACCTGCTTTTTCTATGGTTAGTAGAGGAAGAAATACATGGAGCTGCCCATGTAGGCAACTGTAAACAGGAGTCAGATATYTCCTCTCACTTTTGTTTAGTCATAGCAATATGGCCCATAATTAGAAAATTACATCTATATTAAAATCACATTCACCAGTAATGAAATAGAGCAAACTGAGGAGGTGAGCACAGTGGCATTTTAACCATGCACAGTGACATGCCATAATTGTTCTTGTCAGAAATGAAGAAAGACTGACTCTTCAGGTCAGTTTTCATATTATCTGTGAGTGTATTACACGGCATATTGCCTATGAGCAGTGTTTTAATCATACATCATATTTTTGTCTGAACCTCATATCTAGGATCTAATGGGAAATGCCAGTAAACAGGGATATGGATTCATAAGATTGGTTACAGCTGTCTGGCAATAGCCTGGCAAACAGGTTAGCTTGAAGAAGAGATAGTTAATATGTGGACTGTTCTTGCTTCATTCAGTGCTGCCCAAGTTAGATGTGTTGATAAAGATTGTTCAGTATTTGGAGATTACAAATAGGGTCGTATCTTGGGGTATTGAAAAGGGATTTTCCTTGGGAGAGGGAGTGTAACATCTGTGGTTTGGGTATGAGGATGGCAGGGACAAGCGATGGGAAATCACTCGGAGTGTCACTAAGCAGCAGAACTTCCCTAGAAGAGGAAATGCTGCATTCCCTCCTCTTTGCTGGTGGTGCCTGCCTTCCGTGATCTTGCTGTAAAAGCACTTTGTGGGAACCAGAAGGGAGATTTAATATCACAATAAAAACCTGTCCCCATTTCCATATCATATCAGAGGAGGTATTGATGGAGTACTTGTGGTCTATGGATAGGGAGTGAGGTGGAGGGAAATGTGCCTTGGAGATGGGAGATGGCAGCTTTCTGGACCTCTTGAAGCCATTGGTGTTTTATTTGTTTGCTGTAGTGGGAAAATGTGTTTTTTCAATATGGCAAAATTGATTTTTGTGCCTGCTGGGCACAGGAAAGCTTCTAAGTCTCTGTGAGAATGTGCCAAATTTGTAGCCCATCAGGCCTTAAGGAGTTAAATGCTTGCTGTACTACCGAGMAGAGGATGTTTTTTTCATGTTCTTTCTTCTGATGGTTTCACTTATATGGTGCTTCCACTGCAGTTTGAAAGAGAGCATGTAACTTCTAGAGCCTTCTAATGTAGGAAATTTAGTTCCTGCAGAGAAGTAATTGCTTGGTACAGAATTAACTTAAAAAAAGTGTCTTTCGAGGTCTACATCTATTCTGAGCTTGCTTTTGTAAGGGCATGCATTTCTACATGTTTGAGTTCAGAAGGGCAAACAGGTCCCTATACTTTGTAAATAAAAAGTATTTACAATTGTACAAATATAGGCTGATATATATAACAATCTGATAGAGGCTTCTTTTTAATTTCCACTGTTGTCAAAGAAGGTACCTCCTCTCTTGCCAACATATGGGTGAAAGGAGAAAGGGCAGCTCATAAACTGCTGAGTCTGTGCTCATCAAAATTTGAAATTCTCAAAGCTGATCGTGATTTTAGAATAAAATATGTCATTTGATCAAAAACATTGATCAAACTATTTGTGTCTTTAATCCAGAAGGAAGGCTTATAAGCCCACATTGGGTTTGTTTGTTGAATCATTGGCACAAAATGGATAGGTCAAAAACTKCAGAGTTAGCACAAGCTGGTTATTTGGAAAGATGAAATGTCATAATACCTTAGGAAATTCTTTAGGGAATGGCATGGATTTCATACTTGCTTGATTCACCCAAAGATCACTCAAGAGTTAATTTCAAAATAATAGTAATAATAGCAGCCGCATATGTAGTAGTAACAGTAAGAATAAAAATTAACATATATATGATCATACATAGTCTGGTGAACATGTATTTAAATAAAATAGCAGAAATGCTTCATGATTTTTGTTTGATGAACTTGACTGTGTTGGTGGTTTGAGATTCACAGCTGGTCAGGAAAGCCAAAGYAATGACATCTTTAAAATATTCTTTGATACAAAATTCTCAGAGTATGCGAAGTTTTARGACACAATGCTTTTCCAGATGATCCTTACATCTCCGTAAAAGAGCATTTTCTTGAGAGTAAATTAATAATAAATTTAAAAAGAAAAAAGAGATCATTTTTAAGAGAAAGATGATATTATTGATAGGTGCTAAGTCTGTGCAAGCTCACAGTAAAGTGTCCCTTTATTCTGCACAATTGTGTCTGTTATTATCTTATAAGCAGTATTAATCTTTGTATCGTGTAATTCATTCCTATTTAAATTCTCACTAAGTAGAATATAAGGCCAGAATATTTCATATCCATTACTCTTATGGGCACCTGGCAGATGGGAGATGAAGAAAAATAAAACTGGAAAAAATAGTGCATTAAAATATATGTTAATTAAACTATATCATGCCACTCTAATTTTATGATTTTTATTTCTTATTCTTCTATAGCCTCAGACCATTCGTCAGACTCTTCAAAGGACATTGGAGTATTTTGAGCATCAAGTTATAGGGTAAGTGTTAATGCAAGGTCAGAGAAAGGTGCGTGGTAACTTTTCCCTCTGTGCTTTCTATGYCACTGATACGCTCTTTAATTTTGCTCACAAATTCTTAAAATTGCTCTGGAGTAACCATATACATCACAGATATTAATGATAAACTACTCTGCAATCCTGCTTCCATGCACTTCCTTTAGAGAAGGAGTTCTCCGTTAACTGTGAGATTTCCTATGCCAGAAGAACAGGGAATCTGTAAAAGCACTAAATCTGTCCAAATTTGCTTTTCATTGAGCCACCTGAGAGGACTGTACAAATTATTTATATATTACTTTTGCTTCTGTCTTATCTTAGTCCGGGATACAGTGTTAAAAAACAAACCCAACTCAACACAATGCAATGCAATAAAATCCAACCCCAAATTTACAGCAAATGGTAGCTCCTGGGCTGAGATGCTATGACCTGAGGTGAGACTTGCAAAATCTTGCAACTTATTAAAGACTTACAGTGTTGCATATTTACAGGCTTTTGCAGAAACAGGACTGAAAGTTGCCTGACAGTTGGTTGAGAAAATTAATATATGACTGAGGAGTAAACAGAAAGTAATATCATGAAAATCTAAGGTGTTTTCCCATTGATTAAAATAATCTCTTGTCAGCCATTTCCTTACCTGCACAAGTATTATATTGTCAGAGATAACTTTTATTATTCCTAACAGTCAGAGTCCAGTGGCTGCATGTCTATAGCCATTACGCTCCTCTGCCATATGGCAAATGAAGAATACTGTCCTCTTCTGAATCTAATTACACAGATGCAACAGTAATTTTTTTTCAAGCTGCATTAAGGGTCTTTGTAGAATTTATGGCATAATTTTGAAGCTCGGTGCACTGAAKGGAATTGTCCTTGTCTGTTTTCCAGTGTTTGGTTAAAATTCAAATGGAGCTTGAGCTTGGTAGGTGACATTTATAGTGATAGCACGTCTGGCTGGCACCTGAGGGAGCCATTCATTGCAGGTAGTTATGATATCCACTGTGGCACAAGCAGGGGGAGAAGCCTTCTGGTGAAGTATTTTTTTTCAGTTGCTGAAAAGTTGCTGAAAAAAAATGCTTTAAATTTCCTGTTAGGAGGTTTCAGTGGATGAGACACAGCACCCTGGGAAATGTATGTGTGCAATAACAATGCAGCTTTTAATTTATGGCCACATGGCACTTAGATTCGCTTATTTGAGTGRAGAAAGTTTAAAAACAAGACTCTGCAAAAATCTGTGATTGCTGTGACTTACCATACACTTCAGTTTTTTGAATGTCATTATAAATTTGTTAAAGTCATTTCTATGTCTGTATTTGCCCTGTCCTGTGGTTGTTACCAATGGGATGCACTTTGCATTTGTAAACCTTAACTCAGTTGGGAGTTGGTGCCCATGCTACTTTGCTTGCTTCTGGTGTGCACCAGACCATGTTGTGGTTGAGCAAGAATGAGCCTAGTCTCCCCTAGACACTTTTGCTGCCCCAGTGGCCCAGGCTCTTCCAGCTCTGCTGTGGATCACACACTGCTCACGAGCCTGTAACCTRCACTCTGTTAAGGGTCTGTCTTGTTTCTGTGCCTGGTGCTAGCGAACTAACCAGAGCAAGGAGCATTTCTGGGCRCTGAGGTTTGACTGCCGAGCAGCTGCTGGAGCAGATTTGACTGGGGTGAGCTCACCCTCTGCCAAATGTTTTGCACCACTGGCCTGGGGCAGCGCAGGCTGGGGACTGTTCTCATGCCTGGTGCACAGTCTGTGCATCCACTCCAGGCATCTTTCAGGARCCTCTACGTAACTAAAGGTGAACCAGTGAACCTCAGCACCAGAAAAGACCTATTTGTGTGCTAGGCTGGATGCAGCCTGGAGTGTGCATTGATTTCAGTACACAGCAATGCCCTGTGCTGCTAAGGACAACCTAGATAAGGTTGTGAGCAGAAGCAGGAGGTCAAGCTCAAGATATCAGTACCCTCTGACCTGGGGCTTGCAGCAGCCGTGCTGGGCAGTGGCCTGGGCATGGTGAAGATGACCAAAGCTTTGGCTTCTCAGGAATGACTTGTGTGTGGGGTGGCAGCCCAGCCTCCATGAGCAGGAAAAGCTCAGCCTTGCTGAATCGAGCTCTTCTGTCCCTTTTGCCTGAGGGTGCTTCAGAAACCCTCCAAGGTTTCCTTTATTATCCTCCATAACCCAGTCTTGGAGCACTGAGTACCAGTGTCTGAGCACCTGCTCACAAATGGCCTGGGCTCAGGTCCTAAAGCTCCCCAACAAGTTTCACAGAATCACAGAACGGYTGAGGTTAGAAAGGACCACCAGAGATTGTTCAACCTGATGCCCCTGCTCAAGCAGGGTCACCTAGAGCATGCTGCCCAGGATTGTGTCCAGTTGGCTTTTCAGTATCTCCAAGGATGGAGAGTCCACAAGCTTTCTGGACAAACAAGTTTGACTGAGTTAAGCAATGAGGGTCCTCCTTCCTCTCGCTGTAACTGATTCAAGAGCCCTCTCCTCAGCTGCTGGGGTTCCTTTCTGGCACTTCCTTTAGAGCCTCTTTTGGCAGTGAAGGATAATTCTTTCCTTGCCCCTTCATGAGAGACCTGAGAGACAGTCTCCAGAGATTTGGGAATCATGGAATGCAAATGTAAATGTCTAACAGAAACACCCAGTGAAATAGGAAATAGAATTTGATATTCCTAGGGTAAATGTTTAGGAACAAATATTTAAACATGATTCAAGAAAAAGAGAAAGATCATACTTTTGTATAGGGCCCAGGCAATATAGAAGAATTTAAGCTGCGTTTTTCTTTAGAGACCAGCATGGGGCTTCCCAAGCTGTGGATAGACAGTTTTTTTTTTTTTCTTCTTTTTTCAAGTTGATGGAAAATGCAGACATTTGAGAACATGATTTTGACCTGTCTCCAGATCCTACAATACCACTACCTAAGATTGGGTTGGGGTACTTAGGTGTATTAGAAGCAGCTTTTTAATTTTTTTTTTATTCTTTATTTTTTTTAGGACAATGTTAGAGTTGTATCTATAACTTGTAATGATAGTTTGGATGCATCACATTTTCTTCACTTGTGTTCCAATTCAGTCTTCTTAAGCACCTGCCTAAAGCTTTGTTTTTTTTCAAAAACAAAGTTTAAGTTTCTCTTCTGTTTCTGTTGAATTAAGGAAAAAGAATCCAGCAAAACTAATTCAGATAGAATAATTTAGATGGTAGGAACTTTCTTGTTGTTCTGAGCACAGCCCTGTATCTTTTCTCAGTAGTGGTATTCTTTCTAATTTCTTTGTAGCGGGCTATTAAACAAACTCCTTGATAGCACAGTGAGTGTTACTGACAATATTCTCTTTGCTGAGATGTTTTCAGAAGATAATCCACAGAGAAACCTAGATTTTATATATGCAATGCTAATTTAATGTAGCACAGCTATATCAGGAAGATTTATTCTTCCTATTAGATACTCGCCATTGTGTCATAAACATCTTGTTTTGAATTTAATGTACAATATAAAAAATACCCCAATGGAGGTGATGTATAAAACAGATACGTCTGATATCAAGCGCTTTTGTACGATTTTTTTTTACTGTCTCTAATTTCATTACAGAGAGTACTCCAGATACCAGTGTGATACTACAGATACCCTGGCTACTAATGAGATGTTATCAACATGTGTTTATGCACAAAGGAAGGAGGGTAATGAAGGAGAGAAGATGAGGGTGGCAAAGAGCTTATTCAGCTTTGCTAAATACACTGTCTGATATGAGTGGGAACAGGATCAAGACAGTTGAAATTTGAACTCACTTTCAAAATTAATCATCAGTTAAATTTTTTGGCTTAGCCACTACATGCAGAATCCTATAGGACAGATAAGAAGAGACGTCAGAACCTATCTTTTCTTTGACACAAACTAGACCTGCATCCCTAGGACAAGAGGCAATGAACAAAAACTGAAACACAGGAGGTTCTGTCTGAATGTCAAGAAAAGTTGTAAGAGTAACAGAGCACTGGAACAGGTTGCCCAGAGAGCCTGTGGAGCCTCCATCCTTGGAGATACTCAAAAGGCACCTGGATGTGATCCTGTGCTACATGTTCTCGAGCAGGGGGGTTGTACTAGATGATCTCTAGAGGTCTCTTCCAATCTCAAACATCCATGTTTTTGTGTTTCTGCAAGATTCTTTTCTAACTTGCATTTATATAAGGAWWTTTTTTTTCCTTTTTGTCTATAGTTACAGGGATGCAGAAAAGAACTTTCACAATATATCGAATAGATGCTCCTACACAGACTGCTCTGGCAATGAGGAAACAGAAGATGTCTCAGGAATTCTCCAGTGCACAGCTAATGTGCTTGGTATGTATATTTTCAAGGGAACTTGTTTTTTGTAGCTAGAAGGAGGGCTTGCTGTGCMTCTTAATCAACAATGAAATTTTTGTTCCAACAAAGGAAACTTATAAAATAAGCACCAGTGTGCTGGTATTGCATCTATCTTTCCTACACATATTTTGCTCATTTGAAACAATCCAGATGGATTTTTCAGTGAAAGTGTATGTACTGTATGTACTGAAACAAAATTTCAAAGTCTTTGAGTTCAAATATATTTGTGTCTATGCAGGCCTTAGTCTTGCAGTTATCTCAGACTATTGGCCTGGTGGATATAGGGCCTAGGAAATGTACAGCGGGATGTACATGAGACATGAAACTTTGGAACCTTATACTTATGTTGAAGCATATTTGAGGTAGCAAACTTTTAGGAATGTTCTATTTCAAGATGACATTATCCATTACTGAAGTGATGCAGTCTTAGATCACACTAGTGTTTCCCAAGAAACTCCTGGAAATTACCTGGGGAATCAAGTCTTCCTGTGATATGAACACCTGCTCTGGATTTTCATGAGAAGCCATCTGTTCTGTGCAGGTAACTGAACTGAGATATGAAAGTGTCAGTGTTTGAAAAGAGAGCTAATGAAAAAAAAAAAAGTACTTCTACTTTAAATTTTAGTCTTGGAATTAGGTAGCTGGTCATTTGCCTCATTTGTATGATTTTTTCCAGATTGCTGTCTTTCCTGAGCTGTTGGTAAGTTTTACTGCTTTTCAGTCTGACTTGTGCTGCTGATTCAGGCCACCATGAAATGCAAAGAAAGGAAAGGAAAAGGAAAGGAGAAGGAAAAGGAAATGGGAAAGGAAAAGGAAAAGGAAAAGGAAAGGAAAAGGAAAAGAAAAGGAAAGGAAAAGGAAAGGAAAAGGAAAGGAAAAGGAAAGGAAAAGGAAAGGAAAAGGAAAGGAAAAGGAAAGGAAAAGGAAAGGAAAAGGAAAGGAAAGAAAAAGAGATGAAAAACTTGCTACTGAAAACTCAATTTTCATCTGGGCCTGGTTTAACCATTTCACTTCTGTGAAATAAAGTATTGGATTTTTTTTTATCATGAACTTTACAGGTTGAACTTTAACCATGTGGGCAGCTACCTAGCTTTTGCAAGGTATTTTTAAAGGGGAAAAGCACCAACTGCCGCTAAAGAAAATTATTTCAAAGGACTAATTGCAGACTTAGGTGTGATAGTCATTTACGGTGTAGTAGAATTGAGTTATATAGCTCTACTTTCAGGAGTGTATTGGCCGATAATAACTTTTTTATTAAGTGCTTAGACATTAAGGAGCCTTGTATATTAATTGCCTGCAGTTATCCATCTGATAGCAAAAACCAATGTGACCATGTTACTCGTTGATATGAATTTGAGTGTTATGTGTGTTTGAGCTCGGTCTTGAGGTCAAGCTGATGAGCTGAGCAGCAGCGGAGCTGCCCTGTGTGTGTGGCCACTGCTGCCAAGTGTTAGCAGTAAAACAGTGTCATTTGCCATCCAAGGGTGCCAACAGACTCACTGCACCCGTACAGGTTGCGTAGGGTGTAAAACAGCTGACGCTAAGCACAGCCAGGGAGGATCTGAGTGCCTTCTAACAGCACTGGGATTCATGGGAAGAGATGGGACTTGTCACCTTGCATGTTTGGCTCAGTGGGAGAATTTAAATTCTTTCTCGCTTGTATGGGACAGGAATATAAGAGTAAGAATACTCAAACCAGCTTCTACATTTTAATTGCTGTCTCCTGTCACAACAGGTAAATAATTAATGGAGGCTGCCTAATTAATTTTCACATGTACAATTATTTTTCTGATTGAATAAAGATTAGAAAGAAAATCTCTTATGTGAGAAGGAAGTAATCACTGGGGTATATACCTAGAGCAGTGGGGATTGCTTAGACAGAAGGCAAAAGTGAAATCAACTGTGATGGCAGTTAGAGAAACTGTTGAACCAAATCCTGCTCTCATTTTATTTATATGGGTGGTTAAAAGGATTTGCTGTCTGGGATTCTGTGAGTTCTGCAGTCCAAGAGTTGGGCCTGTTCTTGATAGGGGCCAATGTTTAGCCTTGTGCTTTGCATGGCCCACAATTAACCACTTCGGCTCTGCCCCTGCTGACCTTAGGCAGAGGTCTAGCTTTTAAGTCGATCTGTAAACCTGGAAGAAAGTTTTTTTTTTTTTAGAGACATTTGAAAACAACCTCCTACTGCCTTTGCTTTAGATAATGCCAACACGTTTCACCTCTCCTGACCCAGTAAATGCCTCTAAAATTGTCATTTGGCATTCCTTAGTCATCAAAAGACACAAATGCTGAGGTCAGTAGTAAGCCTGGAAGACTGAACAGATGCTCTGCCCTGTGGTCCTGGTGCTTACGCTGCTCACAACATGGTACACATGCAACTGGATGCATGTATCTGTATGATATGAATCCTGGAATGTGCCTCATGTCAAATTATCTCCAGAAGTGTGTGCAGGAAGGGACCTGATGCTCCTTATCTCTTCGCTKAGATCTCCTGCTACAGCCCCAGACATCACTAGAGCTCTTCCTGCTTTCATTCACTGTAATTGAGAGACACCTTCATCACGCTCCAAAGCTGTACACTGTTTGATATCAGATCAATGACAAAACTTTCCTTTGCAGTTTTAGTGGCTGGAATATTTAATTTTGTATCCTTTCCAAAATAGTCCAAGCAGCTTTATGAGGGACTCTGTTTTGTTTGGTTTATACAGACATACTTTTTACAACGTGCTTCATATATTCCAAAAGAAAAACAAGTAACAGAATATTGGAAGCTGGACAGAAGGAGAAAGAAATCTTGTCCTTTAAGGAAGTTGTTAGAAATTCCCTAGATTGAAGTAAAGTATGTCAAAGAATAAGTGTAGATGTGTTTTACACTTTTGTCCCAAATACTTCAATGGGCTAGTTTTCAGTGGGCTAGTGAGACTGTGTTCAGAGAAGCTTTGTACTGTTAATCTTCTTTTTTTAAAAAAAAGTATTATGAAGCATACTATATAGATGTCTACTACTTTTCAACTGACCAAATTTATACTGAGGTGTGTTAAAGGGAAAGACTGTATATGAAGAGATTTCTTATTTGATCTTTGACAAGTTTTTATTCTCTTTGTGCCTCAGTTTCCCATTTGTGTGTATATATACATATGTACATTTGTCCTTTGAACCATACATCAGTGCTGCCTATTTAGATTCTAACCTTCTCAAGACAAGTTTTCTTACATACTATTTGTTTGTACATCAGCACTTTGAGCAATGACGGCCAGATCTTGTTTTGGCTTACTTTTGTCACTTTAATAAAAATGACTTATTTGAAGTAAGATTAGGGTGTGTATTTTGCTTTATTCCAGCTAGCTGCAGTAAGTCAGAGACCTTAGTGACCTTTAATGTAGTTGCAAGTTTAACCTTCATTGATTAAAAGATTAGGATGAAACTTTTTTTTTTAATCATTAGATTATTTTGGGATATAAAGACTTCTTGACATCTCTTCTGCATATCTCTTGGGAAGTTATTGCCCATTATGTAATTGTAATATGTTATATGGTATCACATCCTAATATACTTAGAAAAATGTAGACCCTTCACTTCACCTCCCCATATAATGTTGGAAAACACTGCCTACAATTAGTGTAGTCTTTGGAAGTGGGCAACTCTTCACTCTTAATTCAGTCCTTTGCAATAAAGAAAGGGAGCTTTGTGAACAAATACGTGTTTTCCTTTAAATGCCATCACGATGTCCTTTGGGGCCTTTTTACAGTTTGTCAGGTAGAGGGAACTGTGTTGTAGCTTTTGACAGTAAAAATGAAAAGAAACCTAAATTCATAAATATCTCATTTAAAAAAATCTATCTTCCCATGTGCGAAACTTGCAAAGTAGATACAGAGATTTATACCCAGTCTTTAGTGACATGGAAGAAAGAGTATATTTGTATWTTGGACTACACTATCTAAACTGTATGTTCTTCAGCACTGTGCTTTATGTACTGCATAAATAACACTAACGAGACCTTAGACACAGAGCCTGAAGTTACAAATGAATTTATATCAGTTGTTTCATCAAGGAGGTCCTGGAGAAGTAACTGCACGTATATACATTTCCATTATTTAAGATGCAGAGAAAGTGTTTGCAATTTCTTCTTTTTTTTTTTTTTTAATTGGAGAAATGATTTGTGCAACACAATTCTTTTGTATCTGTTAGAAAATTTTGACTCAAAATCTTATTTAAATTCCCAGCATACATCAATAGTTGCTCAATCAGCTCCACTTGTAGAGATGAATATATTGCAAATATTTTTTCCTGTTAGATGTTTTTAACTTGCAGATTGTTAATAAGGCTTGTCCTCTGGATTTTGCTTCTAGAAGTGGTGCTGAAACAGCTGTTAGTCTGCAGAGAGATTAGTCCAGGTGATACAACTGGAAAATAAGGACAAGCTTCTGGCACAGTGACTGCTCAGCAGGTGTCTGAAAACTGTAAATGTTTATATAGTTAAGATATAGAAGTTCATACCCCATTGTTCTTTCCCTGAGCTGAGTAAGGGATAATCTWGAGGATGCAACTAATTTAGGATACAARTCCTGATTTATATTTAAAGTTGTTAGATTTATATATAAAGTTGTCAGGGATAATCTTGAGGATGCAACTAATTTAGGATACAAATCCTGATTTATATTTAAAGTTGTTAGTTTATAACTGGCACAGAAGGAAATGTTACATGGCCCAAAAGACTGACGATACTAATGGATTTTATTAGTATTGGAACTACTTTCAGTGGATTCCCAAACTATGCACACAGGACTCCTTTTACTTAGTAGATGTTATGCAGTACTGACAGTATAAAAACAATATAAACAAAATGTGTTTAATTTCTGTGATTTCAAAATTGAGATGAATGTATCTAAATTAGAAGACAAATGGCATTGAGCTTCCTACTCGTCTAAAAATACAATTACTTATTAGAAAGCAGATAAACTACCGGCAGATAATGA